GGAATGTGCACACACACACTGGTGATGGCGTTGGCCGTGGCTGCCACCATTTACAAATGTTCTTTCCCCAGCGGGAGCTGTTCTGGCCTCCCGAAATGCTATTATTAAGGGTTTAGAATATTTAATTTAATTTTTGAACCGACCAATGCAAGCCTCTCTTAAAAAAAAAGTTAAAGAATGCAAAAGAGTAATGATTGCTTGTTTGCTCCCTGTTGTCATCTGCGGTCTGGAAAAGACCTTATTTGAATGTGGCGGAACAAAGGCCCTTTGGTCCTCATCAGTGTCTGAACTGTTCTGGAATTCCTCTCTCTCTCTTGTATCAGTGAGGTCCTTTGTAATCTGCCCCTGACCTTTCTCAGAGCAGGGGGTGCTGAACCATGATGGTCGGGCTTGCTTGCTTCAGAGTCATCTGTTGACTGTGAGAATTGGCCTGAGAATTTAGTGGGTGCTAAGGGTATGGCTTGGAAACTGTTCTCTAGCGGCATTGACACCTATGAATGATAACCAGTCCTATCCACGGGAGCGGGCGTACAGCCCCAATCATTTGGAAGCGGATTTGTGATACAATGGCCATCATCTCCAGAATGGCAGAGATGGTTGGTAAAGAGCCTGCTGGAGTGAGTAGGCTTTCCAAGAAATGGCCTGAAAATGTTTTGCTCCCAAAAGGACAGGTTGTTTAAAACAGTGCTTGAATGGACATTTGAAAGACATCAAACTGCTTTCTCACTTCCATTGTTACCTCCTGACATTCCAGGGGATCCCAGATTGGAAAGGAGAAACGCGGCGAGGTGTTTCCTGTGATTGTCCCTCGAGCACACTTAATCCAGGGTTCAGAGTTCGATGTAGAGAACCGCAGTGTTTCTAAGCCACTGACAAATTTTGGTAATTTTCTTTATTTCAAGTTGTGCTTCTGTCTCCTACCACCCGGCTGTAAGTCAAAGACGTGGAAACCTGAAATGATATGCTGCTCCTAGCTACTGGCCTCCTGCCCCACTAACGGTTCATCTGCCCAACTTAACGCCTGGTGGTGATGACTATTACGTTTGGATGTTCGGATTCCATGACAAAGCTGCATTTTAGAAAAAGATCGGAGACCCCAAAATGAACTTCGTGCTGACCATTTCCTTCTCTCTACGTGCTTTCCCTTGCAAAGCCCTTCAAATCCCCACCTTCTCCCCTCCTGCACCTCTTGTGCCCTTTTTACATCTTTGATCGCCTGATTCTAACAGGGTAAAAAGACAGCCAACCTCACGCATGATAGCAGAACTGATTCCTATGTTTTAAAAAATCTTCTTTGAATCTAGAACCAGAGAAGATTTTTTAAGGACTTTAGTTTGGGATCAACTTCCAGATGAGCCATGTCTATTTGCATCAGAGGGGACATGGGACTTTCAGGACGACTCACCCAGGGCCCGCGAGCATTCTGCCCCACTCCTGAATTCTATGGCAAAGTAAAAAAAAAAAAAAAAGAACTTGAATGGCAAGAACAAGAAAACCTAGTGATTAGTTTTATTGGTTCAAAATGGTTTCCTCTATGGAAGGCACTTCGTAACAGAGAAAATACTGTGCAAAGTGCTTTTGTCTTCTCTGTTGCAGAAGTTGGTTTTAGGAGAAGGAAGAAGGGAGGGGAACATCAGAGAGATGCAACTTACTTTATTACAAAAATCAGGTTCATTGTTTCTTTTTAAAAAAATCTTAGGAGGGCCAGCACATCTGGCCACTTTTGCACCCAGATCTTTGCCAAAGTGAAAATTCATTAAGTAGACCTGGTTGCGGAAGTGTTACCTGGCATCTTCCGGAAGTGACCACCTGCCAAGCGTGGGGTGGGGCAGGAGGAGAGAATTTGCATTCTGGGTCTGGATTAAATTTCGGTAAACATGGTGATGTCTCAGTTTGAAAACGAGAGGGCCTGAGTCTAGTCAGTGCCTCTTTGATGGCCTGCTTTCCTCAGTGAGAATCATTGGGAATACTGAGATGAAACAAAAAAAAAGTGTCCAAGGAAGCAAAAACTGCTTCTCAGTGTGAGATCCCATGACCAACTGCCTGAGGCTTCAGGGTTTTCTCTTGCTTTGAACACTTTCTCTTAAACCTCCTCTGTGGGTACCTAATAGATCCCAGAAAGGGCGATGATAAAGCTGCAATTAACGGTTGTGCGCACCCTTCCGATCTAGTACTGTATTCTTCAGGTGTTTTCCATTTAAGTACAAGTCCTCGGGAAGCAGGTATCCAACATGGAGAGAGAAATCCTAGGCCATCGCTTCACAAATATCCCAAACAAGATACTCTTTTCAAACAGGGCTCCCTCTAAGGGTCATGAGGGAAGGTCGATCCATTCTTTGTTGGGGACTGTTTATACAATTTTTTTCAACTGTGAGCTTTGAAATCGTCAATTGCTTTTGACTCCAGCTTCTGTCTACTGCCATAAAATGGACCCCACGTCAGAGTAATGAGGGTGGTATGTCTGCACACACCTGGAGGTGTGCACACGTACCTATTGTACCTTCGCAGAAGGAAAACAGGCTACTGACGTTGAAGAGGAGTAGCCACCAGTGCCTAATATCTTTCTGGGGGGATGGATGCTTATAATTGCCAGTATATTGAAACCACACTGGGAGTTCCACATAAAGGGGAAGGGCTGAGGGTGGGGAGAGGGGACCTTTTCATCCTAGGCCTTTGGACCAGACAGAATAAGTTCTGCAAATCTAGGTCCTCAGAGGCTTTTGGGCTCATTGGCTGGTTCTCAACCTTTTTTTTTTTTTTCTCCCCCAGCATGCATTTCCTGTACTCAGACTTAAGTTTCTTATCTTCCACTTCTGCTTCATTCCAGGGAGGAAAAGTACACCTGTTATGGCCAAGATCTCCTTGCTAGCACAGAGGCAAAAATAAATGTTTCATGTTTTTGGAGCCTCCCCTTCCTTTCCACAAATCTCCCCAAACTCCTTCTCTCTCGTCATCCCCTCCCTACTCCCACCATTCGACTTCCCAGCCACCACCATTTTTCTTTCAAATCTCTATTATCCTCTCAACAGTTGGCTTGAAAATATTTATTTTTGCACTATACATTTTCTTTTTGCCAGATGTGTCTAACAAGGGTGTTTGGAGAGACCTACTCCCAGCCCCTCCCCTCCCCCACCTCCCCGGTCACATTCTCTCAGGCCTTCTCTGGTATTTATAATATATCACAGAAGTACCCAGTCTTATAGCCCTCGGTTATGCCTTTTTTTGACATTTTATTTTTTTTAAGCTTTTTATATATATATAAATATAAATATATTACTTTGTCGAGTTTTTTTGCTGTACAAAAGTCTTAAGATTTAAAACTATTATTTGTATTATATGATGGTGGTATGTTAATGTTACAAAATTATTAATGAAGAAAAAATTTATTTTTGTTACTGGTCTGTTTCATAATTCTTTTTTAAATTGGTATATTGTAAGATATCTATGCAAAAAATGTTATGTGACGCATTTTTATTTAAGAATGTAATATGTGTAATAAACAGTAGAATGTGTTTGGCCTTGGAATGCCTTACTCTGTTTCTCCCTAGCTTATTTAATTGGGAAAGAAAAATCCTCAGAGACACAAATGGGTCCTTACATATCTCATGAGAATTTTCTTTCTCAGAGAGAGAAAGGGAAGGCAAAAGACCATATGAGGTCGTTTTTCTTTGTTTGGGAGGTTTTGTGTGTGGGGGGGTGGGGTGGGGGGGGGTATGTGTTTTATGGTTTCAATGAGGTGGCTCAGTGCCAGATAGGATGGAACACTGAAGACGGTTTATTTCTTTGAGGGGAGGAAAGGAGCATATTGTTGGAGGTTATGAAAAGCAATATTTTAGAGCGAGGTGGGTTATGGGATGTTATTTGTTTAGGGGGTTAGAGGAGGCTTATTGAAAGCAGTTTATTCCGTGAGCAAGGGGTAAAGTTTGTTCTGGGATAGTGTTGAGTGGAAGTATATTTGGAAAGGATGACGCAGCCATCAGTGGAGGAGCGAGGAAGGGCACAGGTGAGGCAATACTTTAGGTGAGAGGTGGGAGGAGTGCACTTACAGGAGGTAGTGGGTAGCCAAGTGGGGAAGAGCTGACTAGTCAGAGGCAAAGGAATTTGGGTGCCTCTCCATGGTACAGAAAGTTATGTGCAAATATAAGCTGTCTCAAAACACTGAGAAGAGGAAGAGGAAAGGTGTAGGGGAAATGCTCAGGACTAAAAGACCACGGGCTAAAATCGCTTCCACAAGTAATTTCCAGAAAAGAACATAAAAGTAAGGAGGACGGTGGGGAATCTACCTGGTGTTATCCCAGCATCCCTTGCAGGGTGATTCCCCAAGAAAAGGTGCATCATTCACTGGAAACAATAACCGCATCTGTCATTTTCATGGGACACAGCACTACTCAAGCTTCCTTATCACACTTTGGACTTACGGGAAAGGGTACCACGGTGAATCACGTCTATCCTCCGTCAAATGACTCTGACCAGCTTTGCAATAGATTTTTACGTGCAAGACTGGCTGCAGCGGCTGAGCGTCTGCATTGGC